ATATATAATACGGAGCCATTAGCTTACAGAAGGAGACAGTAATGCTGAAACAAGCTGCATCCAGATGATGTAATGATTTAGATATGACTGCTCAGCAGATCTACTCATCCCTCTTAAATGAAAGCTGCCGTGTGTGAGTCTGTTTTCAGTCAAACCGAGTAAACATGGAGGAGAGAGAGACTGTGAGAGAAAAACAGAGGGTTTGCAGAGCAAGCTGACGGATGGAGCCACAAAACTGGTAATACATTCAGGAATGAGGCTGTGAAAGTATGTGTGTGTGGCGGGGGTGTGGGGGTGCCAGCAAGGTAGCTGTTGATACACTCTGCCAGCTCCAGCTGCATGAAGCCGAAGCAGACGGTTAAAGCTGCAGAAGCATTCGGTGCACGCTCTCTCACAGTCAGACACATGTGCACTCATGGATGTGTCACTTCTGTCTCTGCTGTTTGTGACGTGACTGGGAATGAGGAGAGTCATGCTGGGACAACAGGAGACAATGGTTTAGAGGTAGGAACTTATTTTACTAAAGCTTTTTTATCTTTATTCTTCATTTAACTTTGAATCTTCTGCATTTTAGACTAAAGGATTAACCTTGTTGATGTAAAATGAACAATAATTATACACAAATTGATTAATGATTAAAATAGAATTTGAACAAATGGGGCTCGATGGTGTTAAAACTTTTTTTTCTGTCAGCTGAAAATTAGTTTTATTGAAGATGTATTTTTTGTGGTTTTTAATCCAAGGAGTGAATTAGTCAGCACTGATGCAGGTCTTTCATTCCAACACCAGGTGGCGATATTATAGTTTAAAACAAGATTAACTCTGGGTGTCCTGACCCCAAACACCCAGATCAAAACTAAAATCCACATGTTGCTTTTCTTCTAAAGTTTCCTTCACACAAGTCAACCAACAATGCAAAAAATAAATAAATAAATACATTTTTATTCAGTGACATTTGAAATGAATGGACATTTTTTTGTCATATACAAAACTGATTTCGCAGTGCAGAATATAAAGTGGTATAAAGGCCCACTTTCCATGAATATATGCCATAATAGCTCAATAACTACTTTGGTTTTCTAGCTTTTATTCAATTTTGAATTAATAAAACCCGAGTATCCATCACTGATTTTCTGAGCATTATTTAGCAGACCAAAATTCATTAAAATTAAACTTCATTAAACCCTTTATTTTGTTTTCACTTTGGGTAGAAATTTTAATTCTGTGGTATTTTTGTTTCTTTTATAAAGGTGTATTATACTCATTATTTTCAATTTATAATAATTAACTCCACCTTGGTTGGTGTGCTTGTTTGTACTCTTATTTGTCTTGGACATGATGATTATACACAAAGAAGCCTTTCTGAAATGTCTCTCAAGTTAAGTAACCTGACAAATAAGTTTTTTTTTTTTTCAGCTTTCTGTAATCTTTGACTGGTGTTTTCTCTTTAACATTATAAGAGCACCAGATTATATCAGTAGCACTATAACTACTATTATTATACTACTATATTAAGACAAAATTCTATCAAAAAACATGTAATTCCAAACTGATGATGGAAGATTGAAGTTTCTTGACAGCAGCAATCTACATTAGCTTAAGCTGCATTTGGACTAGCTGTTAGCTCATCAATCCCATGAGAATTAAACTCTGTTTCTCCAAACTCAAGCCCTACAAAGCGCTATCCACAACAGATAAGATACTGATTGTTCATAA